TTTGGATTAGTGTAGCCAATGGTTTATCGATCTTATTGATTCTTTCAAAAAACCAGCTTCTAGTTTCATTGATATGTACTACTGTATCTCTGGTTTCTACCTCATTGATCTCAGCTCTAATCTTGATTATTTCCCTTCTTATGTGTGGCGTTGGTTTGATTTGTTGTTGGTTCTCCAGTTCTTTAAGGTGTAGAAACAGCTGGTGTGTTCTGGATTTTTCAATATTTTTGAGGGAGGCTTGGATGGCTATGTATTTCCCCCCTTAGGACTGCCTTTGCTGTATCCCATAGGTTTTGGACCGAAGTGTCTTCATTCTCATTGGTTTCCATGATTGTTTCAGTTTTTCTTTGATCTGCTGGTTGATCCAAGCATTCTTAAGCAAGGTGGTCTTTAGCTTCCAGGTGTTTGAGTTGCTTCTGATCTTTTCCTTGTGATTGATCTCCAGTTTCAAAGCATTGTGATCTGAGAATATGCAGGGAATAATCTCAGAGTACAGGATGATAACTTGGTGATAAAACATAAAAGACACTAAACAACCCTTCATCTCAGTAAATAAACATCCTCAGTTGTGGGCACCAATCTTCCATGCTTCAAAAAACAGATACACAGCATGTAACTGTGATGCTTTGTCGAAGATTAATTGACCATAAAGTTGAGGGTCCATATCTGCGCTCTCTACTCTGTTCCACTGGTGTATGTGTCTGTTTTTATGCCAGTGCCATGCTGTCTTGGTGATCACAGCTTTGTAGTAAAGCTTGAAATCAGGCAATGTGATACACCCAGTTTTATTTTTGTTTTTCAACATTTCCTTAGTGATTCGGGGTCTCTTCTGGTTCCATACAAATTTTAGGATTATTCGCTCCAGCTCTTTGAAGAATACCGGTGGAATTTTGATCAGAATGGCATAAAAAGTGTAGATTGCTCTAGGCAGTAGAGATATTTTAACAAAGTTTATTCTTCCGATCCAAGAGCATGGAATGGTCTTCCATCTTTTTGTGTCTTCTTCAATTTCTTTCATGAGTGTTCTGTAGTTCCTCAAGTACAGATCCTTTACCTCTTTGGTTAGGTTTATTCCCAGGTATCTTATGGTTCTTGGTGCTATAGTAAATGGAATCGATTCTCTAATTTCCCTTTCTGTATTTTCCTTGTTAGTGTATAAGAAAGCCACTGATTTCTGTATGTTGACTTTGTATCCTGCCACGTTACTGAATTGCTGTATGAGTTATAGTAGTTTGGGGGTGGAGTCTTTTGGGTTTTCCAGATAAAGTATTATGTGATCTGCGAAGAGAGACCATTTGACTTCTTCATTGCCAATTTGGATACTTTTTATTTCTCTTTGTTGTCTGAATGCTGTTGCTAGGACTTCTTATACTATGTTGAACAAGAGTGGTGAGAGTGGGCATCCTTGTCATATTCCTGATCTCAGCGGGAAGTCTGTGAGCTTTTTCCTATTGAGGATGATATTTGCTTTGGGTCTTTCCGAGTCTCTTCAATAAATGGTGCTGGGAAAATTGGACAGCTATATGTAGAAGAATGAAACTTTAAAACTTGAAAAATTTGGACAGCTATATGTAGAAGAATGAAACTTGATCATCTCTTACAGTGCACACAAAGATAAACTCGAAATGGATAAAAGACCTCAACGTGAGACAGGAATCCATCAGAATCCTAGAGGAGAACATAGGCAGTAACCTCTTCGATATCAGCCACAGCAACTTCTTTCAACATGTATCTCCAAAGGCCAAGGAAAGAAATGTGAAAATGAACTTCTGGGACTTCATCAAGATCAAAAGCTTCTGCACATCAAAGGAAACAGTCAACAAAACAAAGAGGCAACCCACGGAATGGGAGAAGATATTTGCAAATGACAGTACAGACAAAAGGTTGATATCCAGGATCTATAAAGAACTCCTCAAACTCAACCCACACAAAACAGATAATCATGTCAAAAAATGGGTAGAAGATATGAACAGACCCTTCTCCAAAGAAGACATACAAATGGCTATCAGACACATGAAAAAATGTTCATCATCACTAGCCATCAGGGAGATTCAAATTAAAACCACATTGAAATACCATCCTACACCAGTTAGAATGGCCAAAATTAGCAAGACAGGAAGCAACATGTGTTGGAGATGATGTGGAGAAAGGGGAACCCTCTTACACTGTTGGTGGGAATGCAAATTGGTGCAGCCACTTTGGAGAACAGTGTGGAGATTCCTCAAGAAATTAAAAATAGAGCTTCCTTATGACCCTGCAATTGCACTACTGGGTATTTACCTGAAAGATACAGATGTAGTGAAAGGAAGGGCCATCTGTACCCCATGTTTTTAGTAACAATGGCCATGGTCGCCAAACTGTGGAAAGCACCAAGATGCCCTTCAATGGACGAATGGATAAGGAATATGTGGTCCATCTCCATAATACTATGGAGTATTATGCCTCCATCAGAAAGGATGAATACCCAACTTTTGTAGCAACATGACAGGACTGGAAGAGATTATGCTGAGTAAAATAAGTCAAGCAGAGAGGGTCAATTATCATATGGTTTTACTTATTGTGGAGCATAAGAGATAACATGGAGGACAAGGGGAGATGGAGAGGAGAAGGGAGTTGAGGGAAATTGGAAGGGGAGGTGAACCATGAGAGACTATGGACCCTGAAAAACAACCTGAGGGTTTTGAAGGGGCGGAGGCTGGGAGGTTGGGGGAGCCAGGTGGTGGGTATTAAGGAGGGCATGTATTGCATGGAGCACTGGGTGTGGTGTAAAAACAATGAATTCTGTTACGCTGTAAAGAAAAAAAATCTCAAAAAAAGAAGTTCAGAAATAAAAAAAAATAGGGGAAAAGAAAAAGAAATATTTTGTGCAGTAATAAAATTGTTTTCTTTGTGTTTTGAAATTTTGCTTTGTCATATATATGGTCATTCTGACACTAAGAACATAGCATGTTGATCTGTTTATTCAAATTTGTTCTACCATGTAGACTCCACTAGGAGAGATATATTTGCTAATCAGTGCTTGCTAGGGGCTATGGTAGGCTTTGTGGACTTGAGCTGACTCACAGAGTAAAAGCGGGAGACCAGGCATGAAACAAGGTATCATGTTTATTGAGTAAATGTCTGACATTAAGTTTTTGATTTCTGAAGCATCCATTTCAAAGACAACCATGGTGAATAAACACATTGTTTGGTGGGACACAATTACCAGATAAGTACTCAGGCTTCCCCAGCCATGAAATACCTCTTCAGTAAGCCCTGGTAACCTCCATACTGTCACATGAGTGACCCTGCTATCCCCTTCAGCACCCAATTTCTACTCATTTAAATTCTCTGATAAATCCTGAACTCAACAATCCCCTAAACATTCTGACCATGGGCTCTAATAAAGGCAGATCCTCAGGGGAGCTCAATTTCTCCATTCTTCTCAATGCATCTCCCCTCCTCTGAAATCTCTCAGAAAGGACTTTGAGCAATCCCTGTGCCCTTCAGGACCTGTGAGTAATACACCTGGTTTTTGGTTCCTTAGTCCTTTTTTTCCCCCCAATGTTCCAAGATTCATCATTTATTCATCACACCCAGTGCTCCATGCAATGTGTGCCCTCCTTAATACCCACCACCAGACTCTCCCATCTCCCACTCCCCTCCCCTCCAAAACCCTCAGTTTGTTTCTCAGACTCCACAGTCTCTTGTGCTTCATCTCCCCCTCCAATTTACTCCAACTCACTTTTCCTTTCCTTCTCCTAATGTCCTCCATGTTTTTCCTTATGCTCCACAAGTAAGTGAAACCATATGATAATTTACTTTCTCTGCTTGATTTATTTCACTCAGCATAATCTCCTTCAGTCCCATCCATTTTGATACAAAAGTTGGGTATTCATCCTTACTTACGGTTTTATTAGAGTTCTCTGATGGGTGTTGCTGAGGTATGTCTTAAAATCTCAATAAAAACCCATGGCCAGTGCAGCCATAGCAGAGAGGTTGGCCATGGGAGCATCTGTGGGAGTGTACACAAGCACAGGTGCAGGGGAGTGCCAGAGTTTTCCTAGCCTGAGACATACTGTCAGTAGCCCAAGATGTAAACAGAATAGTTTAGAGTCCACATAATGAAGAAAAGGAGTGAAGCTAATGATGTAAAAAGATTGGCAGACTGTAGGTGAAAACTGGGCTTTTGTATTTTCATCTACAATAAAGTCATGTGAAGGGCTTAGTGGCCTAATGTACCTTCTTCCATATGAGGTATACAACTCATGATTATTCTTTGGGAAATCTAGGGAAAATTTATTTGGCATGATATAAGTCACTTGGAATGAAAGTATTTTTAAGAAATCCAATCTGCCCCATGTAAGATACAGAAATTTCCAAACATTTGTTTTCCAAGATTGGGGAAAGCATTAGGAATATATGAAAAGGGACAAAGAGGAAACTGTGTATATCAGACAGAGTAGAAGCTTAATAAAGTGAGTTACTTAAATGTGAATACCTAACTTTTGTAGCAACATGGACGGAACTGGAAGAGATTATGCTGAGTGAAATAAGTCAAGCAGAGAGTCATTTATCATGTGGTTTCACTTATTTGTGGGGCATAACAAATAGCGTGGAGGACAAGGGGAGTTAGAGAGGAGAAGGGAGTTGAGGAAAATTGGAAGGGGAGGTGAATCATGAGAGACTATGGACTCTGAAAAACAATCTGAGGGTTTTGAAGGGGTGGGGGGTGGGAGGTTGGGGGAACCAGGTGGTGGGTATTAGAGAGGGCATGGATTGCATGGAGCACTGGGTGTGGTGCAAAAACAAGGAATACTGTTATGCTGAAAATAAAAAAATAAAAATAAAAAAATGTGTAGAGAAGTTGAATTCAAACAAATGGAATTTCCAGAAAATAAATGGAAGGAGCAGATTCTATTTCCACAGGCTGGTCAATGAATAGCAGCAGTTCCAGCTCTGAGACTGTGAGCCCTGAAATTATGGGTGCTTCTTCAGTCACAGGACCATTGGCTCTTATGTTACTGGAACCCAGTGATTCTTTTTAGAGCCCTCTTTATTTCTCTGTTCCTCAGGATGTAGATAAAGGGGTTCAGCATGGATGTGAACACTGTGTACATCACCGAAGCCACCACACTTGTATGGGAGCTCTGGGTAGCAGCAGAGCTAAGATACACTCCTAGGCTTGTACAATAAAATAAGGAGACAACTGAGAGGTGAGATGCACAGGTGGAAAATGCTTTATATTTGCCGTGATCTGATGATATTCTACATATGAAGGAAATAATCTTAGAGTAAGTGTAAAGGATCCCAGTCATGGGAACACCCGCCAGCAGCACAATTACAAAATACATCACCATGTCATTAAGAAAGGTGTCAGAACAGGCAAGATGGATCATCTGATTGAGTTCACAGAAAAAGTGGGGTATTTCCACCTCTGTACAGAAGGACAGCTGAAACAGCATTGAGCTCTGTAATGAGGAATTCAGAACACTGATGACCCAGGACACCAGAACCAGCAGTCTACAGAGCTGGGGGTTCATGATGACTGTATAGTGCAGGGCATGACAGATGGCCACAAACCGGTCATAGGCCATCACCATCAGGAGTAAATTGTCCAGGCATCCAAACACAATGAAAAAAAATATCTGGCTGAAGCAGCCTTCATAAGTTATGACTTTGCTCTGAGTATGGATGTTCCATAGCATCTTAGGAATGGTGGTGGAGGTGAAACAGATGTCCACAAAGGACAGGTTGGCCAAGAAGAAGTACATGGGGGTGTGGAGGTGGGAGTCAAAATGGACAACCAGGATGATGAGCAGGTTTCCAAACACAGTGATCATGTACATGGAGAGGAAAAGCCCAAAGATGAGCAGCTGCACTCCTGGTTCCTCTGATAAGCCCAGAAGAATAAATCCTGAAATCCATGTATCATTTCCCGATTCCATGTGGTGTAGTTGGCTACCAGAAAGAAAGAAAAATAACATAATAATTTTCAACAAATGGACTTCATTTATTTATTTATTACATTTTTTTCATTTTTAGGTTTTTAAAAAATTTATTTTATGTTTTCAGTGTTCCAAGATTCATTGTTTATGCACCATATCCAGAGCTCCATACAATACATGCTCTCCTTAATAGCCACCACCAGGGTCTCCCAACTCCCCATCCCCCTCCCCTCCAAAACCCTCAGCTTGTTTCTTTCTCAGAGTCCACAGTCTCTCATGCTTCGTCTACCCCTCCAATTTCCCCCAAACCCCTCTCTCCTTCACCTAATGTCCTCCATGTTATTCTTTATGCTCCACAAGTAAGTGAAACCGTACGATAATTGACTCTCTCTGCTTGGTTTATTTCCCTCAGCATAATCTCTTTCAATCCTGTCCATGTTGATACAAAAATTGGGTATGCATCTTCTGATGGAGGCATAATACTGCATTGTATATATGGACCATATCTTTTTTATCCATTTTTAGTTTTTTTTAATTCCAGTTAGTTAACAGAAAATGTAATATTAGGTTCAGGTTCATCATAAAGTGATTCAATACATCCATAAAACACCTGGTGCTCAGTACAAGTGCCCTCCTCAATCCCCATCACCTATTTTCCCCCATCCTCCACCATCTTTCCTCTGGTAACCAGGGGTGTGTCTCTCTGATTAAGAGTCCATTTATTGATTTTCCTCTCTCTTTCTTTTTCCCTTTGCTTATTAGTTTTGTTTCTTAAATTCCACGTATGACTGAAATCATGTGCTCTTTGTCTTTCCCTGACTGATTTATTTCACTTAGCATGATACTCTCTAGATCCATTGGTGTCATTGCAAATGGCAAAATTTCATTCTCTTTTAGGCTGACTACTATATATACAACTTCTTCTTTTCCATTCCTCTCTCCGTGGACACTTGGATACTTCCATAATTTGGCTATTATAGATACTGCTGCTTTAAATACCGGGGTGCATGAATCCCTTTTGAATTAGTATTTTTGTATTCTTTGGGTAAATACCTAGCAGTGCAAATTCTGGATCATAAGGTTGTTCTATTTTTAACTTTCTGAGGAAATCCCATACTGTTTTCCAGAGCTCCGACAACATTTTACATTTCTACCAACAGTGCAAGAGGGTTCCTCTTTTCCACTTCCTCTGCAACACCTGTTGTTTCCTGTGTTGTTAATTTCAGCTGTTGCAACAGGTATGAGGTGATATGTCATTGCAATTTTGATTTTTGTTTCCCTGATGATGAGATATTTTGAGCATCTTTTCATGAGTCTGTTGTCCATCTGTATGTCTTTGGAAAACTGTCTATTCATTTTTTCTGCACATTTCTTAACCGGTTATTTGTGCTTCAGTTGTTAAGTTTCAAAACTTCTCTATAGATTCTGCATATTAACCCTTAATCAGCTATGTCATTTGCAAATATCTTCTCTTATTCTCTAGGTTGCACTACTTGGTATATACCCAAAGGATACAAAAATACTAATTCAAAGGAATACATGCACTTTGGTGTTTCTAGCAGTATTATCAACTATAACTAAACTGTGGAGAGAGCCCAAATGTCCACCATCTGGTGAATGGATAAAGAAGATGGGGCACAATATGTACCCCAATGTTTATAGCAGCAATGGCCACGGTCGCCAAACTGTGGAAAGAACCAAGATGCCCTTCAACGGACGAATGGATAAGGAAGATGTGGTCCATATACACTATGGAGTATTATGCCTCCATCAGAAAGGATGAATACCCAACTTTTGTAGTAACATGGACAGGACTGGAAGAGATTATGCTGAGTGAAATAAGTCAAGCAGAGAAAGTCAATTATCATATGGTTTCATTTATTTGTGGAGCATAACAAATAGTATGGAGGACAAGGGGAGATGGAGAGGAGAAGGCAGTTGGGGGAAATTGGAAGGGGAGGTGAACCATGAGAGACTATGGACTCTGAAAAACAATCTGAGGGTTTTGAAGGGGCAGGGAATGGGAGGTTGGGGGATCCAGGTGGTGGGTATTGGAGAGGGCATGGATTGCATGGAGCACTGGGGGTGGTGCAAAAATAATGAATACTGTTACGCTGAAAAAATAAAAAATTAAAAAAAAAGAAGATGGGGCACACATATATATATATATATATATACAATGGAATAATACTCATCCACCAAGAGGAATGAAATCTTGCCATTTACAATGACCTGGATGGAGTTAGAGAGTATTATTGTAAGTGAAATAACTCAGTCAGAGAAAGACAAGTACTATATGATTTCACTTGTGTGTGGAATTTAAGAAACAAAGAAAATGAACATAGGGGAAAAAGGAGAGGAAAATCAGGAATAAGATCCTTAACTATAGAGAACAAACAGGGTTATTGGAGAGATGTGGGTTTCGGGGGTGGGTGAAATAGTTGATGGTGATGAAGAGCACCTGTGGTTCTGAGCACCAAGATGTTGTACAGAAGTATTGAATCACTCAGTTCTATATCTGATACTAATATTGCACTGTATTCTTACTAACTGGAATTTAATAAAAACATGGAGAACAAAGAAATGTCTATAGAATCCAATGATGAAGAAAGAAGATAGAGAAAAAAAATAAAATCATTTACCATGTCAGATGGTGACAGGTGGTGCTATGGAGGAAAAAATAATCAGCATAAAAAGGAGTATATGGGAAGAGTGCTAAGTTTTAATAGGAGTTCAGGAAGATCCACAAAGAAGGTGGCATTTTAACAGGGGTTTCCAGAAAGACAAAGCATGAGGCAGGAGGATATCTAGGAGACGTGTGTGTCAGCAGAGAAAACAGAGCAAAGACCCTGCAGAAGGCACTTACTTCACATATGCAAATATCAAAATGAAGTCAATGTGTGAGAGAATGAGCAAGAGGGAGAGTGATGACAGGTGGTGGCTGAGAATGTTGAGGAAGGAGATGGCTTTCCTGCCAGAGGGAATACTTCCTTCACACGATGTTCTTTGCATTTTATTAATTGTGTTTCAAAGAGTTCTGGGAATGGAGATAGATCCCTTCCTTATCTCCATCTGTTGGTTAACATTATGGCATTTAAGAGTCACATACTGCAGTATACAAACTCAGTTATCATTGCCCTGATGATTGTTTAAGCCCCACAACACACACACACACACACACACACACACACACACACACACACACACGACTCACACACAGATGCACAAAGTGCATTCTGACCTCCTGGCACTGTGTTACTATCATGCTTTTCTCACCCCGGGCACAATAATGTTGAAAGAAATGGTACAAGGCAAGCTGTCAACATCAGATTACCGTTACCCTGAAGAATGTGTAAATAGTACATAAATTCTAGTTAATAAGCCTCTGAAGGACATGGAAACATGAACTCCATTTTAATACAATAATCTTGTGTCCTGTACTTACAGAACATAAAAAAGCAATTCCAGAAATACAGAGAGGAAAGAAATGGCCACAAGGGGGAAAAGAAATCTAATAAGTTCAGGGAGTCCCTGAGAGACTGTGATGAGCAGAAATCTTCCCTGGTTCTGGCAGCATTCCAGCCCCGGGTCATATCCCCTGATGCTCAGAATAATTAACAACGAAGGAAAAAAGTGCATCCAAACAAGAAAAGAGTTGTGTTTTTATGATGTCAAAATATTTTACTCTAGAAAAATGTGCAAAAGGAATAAACCTGCAATTTAGAACAGAATATACACAATGTAGGACAGTAACGGGGATTTTTTTTTGTCATTATACATATTTTTTTTTCAATTTTTTAAAATTTTTTAATTTTTATTTTTTATAAACATATAATATATTTTTATCCCCAGGGGTACAGGTCTGTGAATCGCCAGGTTTACACACTTCACAGCACTCACCATAGCACATACCCTCCCTAATGTCCATAACCCCATCCTCCCAACCCCCCTCCCCCCATCAACCCTCAATTTGTTTTGTGAGATTAAGAGTTACTTATGGTTTGTCTCCCTCCCAATCCCATCTTGTTTCATTTACTCTTCTCCTACCCCCTTAACCCCCCATGTTGCATCCCCTCTCCCTCATATCAGGGAGATCATATGATAGTTGTCTTTCTCCAATTGACTGATTTCGCTAAGCATGATGCCCTCTAGTTCCATCCACATCATCGCAAATGGCAAGATTTCATTTCTTTTGATGGCTGCATAGTATTCCATTGTGTATATATACCACATCTTCTTTATCCATTCATATGTTGATGGACATCTAGGTTCTTTCCATAGTTTGGCTATTGTGGACATTGTTGCTATAAACATTCGGGTGCACGTGCCCCTTCGGATCACTACGTTTGTATCTTTAGCGTAAATACCCAGTAGTGAAATTGCTGGGTCATAGGGTAGTTCTATTTTCAACATTTTGAGGAACCTCCATGCTGTTTTCCAGAGTGGTTGCACCAGCTTGCATTCCCACCAACAGTGTAGGAGGGTTCCCCTTTCTCCGCATCCTCGCCAGCATCTGTCATTTCCTGACTTGTTCATTTTAGCCATTCTGACTGGTGTGAGGTGATATCTCATTGTGGTTTTGATTTGTATTTCCCTGATGCCGAGTGATATGGAGCACTTTTTCATGTGTCTGTTGGCCATCTGGATGTCTTCTTTGCAGAAATGTCTGTTCATGTCTTCTGCCCATTTCTTGATTGGATTATTTGTTCTTTGGGTGTTGAGTTTGCTAAGTTCTTTATAGATTTTGGACACTAGCCCTTTATCTGATATGTCATTTGCAAATATCTTCTCCCATTCTGTCAGTTGTCTTTTGGTTTTGTTAACTGTTTCCTTTGCTGTGCAAAAGCTTTTGATCTTGATGAAATCCCAATAGTTCATTTTTGCCCTTGCTTCTCTTGCCTTTGCTGATGTTCCTAAGAAGATGTTGCTGTGGCTGAGGTCGAAGAGGTTGCTGCCTTTGTTCTCTTCAAGGATTTTGATGGATTCCTTTCTCACATTGA